AACCAAAGTTGCCTGAGTGACATCCGAGAACTTCTCCTCCCAATCTCTAGAAATCAGGAATCTGTTGAGCCTCGATAAAGTAACTGAGTCTCTGCCGCTAGACCAAGTGAAAGTTGCCCCTTCCAATGGCAAATCAATTAGAAGGTGACCATCAATAAAGTTGGAGAACTGGGTAATCTCCGAAGACCACCTCCCCCTTGTGGATCTCTCAAATGGAGGCCGAACAGAATTGAAATCCCCACCTAAGCACCAAGGCAATGACCACAATTCCTTAATGTAGCTAAGTTCCGACCAAAAAACAGGTCTATCACAATCAATAATGGGTCCATAAACTCCAGAAAAGACCCAACTGAAATTATCATCTTCCATCTGAAACACGCATGACAAAGAAAAAAGCCCTTTCCAGATATTCGTTCTGGACATCCATCTACGATCCCACATAATAAGAATGCCACCTGATGTACCAGAGGTGTTCAAGGCTTCCCAATCCACGAACCTACTTCCCCAAAGGCTTCTAACCACATCATCAGAAATAGAAGCCAACTTGGTTTTTTGCAAACAAATAACATGGGCATTACACTTCTTCAAAACAACTTTAACCACCTTTCTTTTGTCCGGATCATTTAATCCACGGACGTTCCATGTAATAATTCGTATCTTCATTGAGAACCAAAAATAATCCGTTCCCCTCCTCCCTGCTTCCCACTTCTGGTCCTTCCCCTTTCTTTATTCACCCTATCCTTCCCTTCGTAATTGACATTGGAAATAAGGTTCTTAACCTTCTGATCACCTTTCCGATGTGCATGTTTCCTATTTTTAACAACTTTTGTGCTTTTAGAGGTCTCTGTATTATTGTTTCCTGCCACAATATCATGAAGAATGGTTTGTGTTCGATCATCATCTCCTTCCAAAGAGACACCCAAAGCTTCGCTGACCTCGCCAATATTATCCAACACCCAGTCCATACCCAAATCGTTAACCGTCTCTAAGCAATCACGGTGCACAGTTGCTAAGGGTTCCATGATGTCCACATTAGATTGATCAATATCCCAGGCAAGAGGACAGATCTGTTGAGACTGATCTACAAAGTCCTCCCCTTTGCTTTCAATACTATTCTGATACAAGTTTAATTGTAGATTCAACTTTGTTCCAGGGTCATCCGTAAAATTTGTCATCAAATCATGGGTATAGTTCGTCCCAGTCACGGAGGGTAGACCATTTAAGCCTTTTAGAGCAACACAGAGCTTAAGTTCATTAAGTAAAGTCATGGCTAAATCATCTGTCAGCTTAAAATGAAGGTCTCGTCCAACACAAACTGTCACCCTGTTGGAACAACCAATACTTTCGGACTTGGTCATTGAAGACGGTGATTCTGCATCCCGTGGAATAATGGCTTCAGAAAGACCTCTCCTTTGATCCAAACGATCCTCCACTCCACCTTCACCATTTCCCATCACCTCACACGAAGAAGGGGTAGAAGATAAGTTCTTAGGATGAGAGACAGAGGTCGAACCTGGAGAAGGAGAAGGAGAGCGTGCTACTCATTTCTGTTTTTCAGTATGAGTCCATTGAGTACCACGTCGAACAGCTGAGGCAACCGATCGTCTCCACTTTTCTTTCTCAGTCCGACGCTGAAATGAAGAAGAGGAGAGATTTTGATAATGGGCTTGAGTGTGAACCTGAGCTTTTCTTGGATCTGGTTCGTTAAGAACTGAAACAGAAAATGAGTTGGGTCCTCTAAGAACTCGTCTTTTAGTGTGGGCTGGCTTAGGCCCAAAATCAGGCTTGAACCTTAGCACTTTAGTTTGCCCATAACCCTTCCGGCCCAAATCAACTTTAGGCCAATCTGTGTGGCCCAACCCAGCCTCCTTACCAACCCTTGTAGATAAGGATAGGGTCGAATTTGGAATTGAGTCTCTACGAGCGCCACGTGTAAATTTATCCTTGTCAACTATGATGTGCGTGACCGGCGCGTGTCGTTTACTTGGTCTTCCTCGCACCCATTCTTCCTCCAGCATATGATGAGACCCGTCGCCGCCTTCAATACTCTCTGTCAAGGGAACCAACGCCGGCGCAATTTCTTCCCAGATCGCCACCTTATAACAGAAAGTCTCATCATTAATAAACACAAATTGCGGACAGGTCGATCATATTCTCACTGTAATTCGAACACTTTCAGCGTCCCTTGTTTCATTAGCAGCAACTCCCACAAATCCGCCACATAACTCTCCTACTTTAACAAATAAAGCATTACACCATAGGTCAAGGGGAAGTCCAAACATTTGAATCTGTTTGAGACCTTTTTCTCTAAGGAAGCTGCAACAACCAACCCTAAAAGACCATACATCGATCCGCAGGGTTGTAGATCCCCATTGACGCCGGCCTTCCTTCAACACACGATGGGCTTTGGCCTGAGAAGGAAACCTGAAAAGGAGTAGCGAATCAGATAATGGAGTGACACCCACTCCACATGACGTATTCCATGCTCTCGCCGCCCATTCCTCCACACAATCACATCCCCCAACTTCCTTGTCAAAACGCCCGACCAAGCCAGATGAGAGAACTGATTTCCTCCCTGCGACGGACTCCCCGTCGATGTACAAAGACGGTCCTCGATGTGGAATTGCCGACTTCATATCCCCAGTTAGTGAAATTCTTGGAATCCTTGCAGTCTCTAAATAAGATTTCATCGCGAACGAAAACAAAAAAAGAAAGAAAAGGACAAAGTCACTATCGCCTTGAAATCGCCCCTAGTGGGGTGAAATCGCCCATAGTGACGTCATCAATATCTCTTGGTCCAATATGAAAATGAAAAATTGACAAGTCTAAATAAGATTTCAATATATATATATATATTTGACAAGTCTCGAAAAATTGGGATGATTGTTTAAAGTAAACCATATACTTTTTGTAGTAATTGTCTTTTGATTAGACTAAAAGAAATGGTTGTTATAGAAAAAAGTAAAAGAAAGCGCAAATGATCTAAATCCTAATTATTAAAAGAAATACATACCATAAACACAAGCCAGTAACCCTACAACTAGAGACAAAATGAATACAACTAATAGTGCTGCAAATACATAGGTTTTTTCAATAAAATGGAAAATTAAATATATTACATAGAAATTAAACAGTAGAGAGATAGAATTCCTAACCCTAATGGCCTAATCCGAGTGGGACATAGAAAAGTAAGAGAACGGAGAAATGCTTTACTAAGAACTTACATTGCTGGAAATAGGACATGGTAATATTCTGAAACGTTCTGTCTTTCCTTTTATTTTTCCTTCTACCCACTTTTTTTTTTTTTCCCATCCTCCCTTTCCATTTCTTGTCTTTCCTTTGGATGAGAAAACCTTGAATTTTTTATTGGATGAGAAAGACTTATTATTATTATTATTTTTTTTTTTCATTTTGGGCTTTGAGATCAAAGGCCAACACAAACCCGCTAATTTTGAATTTGGGTTTGAGTCATGTTGACGGGTTGTGCCAATCTAAAAGCATTGATCAAATAGAGAGGGGGAGGCATAGAGATACAATGGTTCCAGCTGTGAAAGAGAAAAGAAGGGGAGGCTTAGAGAGAGAAAATGGGTTTAGCCGTGCAAGAAAAAAACAAATGCAAAGAGAGAGAAAATGAGTTTGGCCATTCGGTAATGGCATTGATGAATCTGGCACTCAAAACGACGTCTTTTGAAGATATTTCCTTGAGTGTCAGAAGTGGTGTCTTATAAATTGTACTTCTGTGTAACATAAGAAGTGCCAACATCTTAAGGTAATTCTTACCCTAGAAATCAGTACTCATTGGCATGCTTGAATTAGAAGATTCAATTGTTTGAAAACATAGTAGATCATTCATGTATTGTCATCTTTCGTAATTTTTTGTACATTATTGTTTTTATATAAACCCTAGCTAGTTTTATTGCATAAATCTCACTACATCAACGCTGGAATGGTCACATTGCCATTTTGGATCTTTGACATGTTTCCTCTGTTTGTTTTGAATTAGAATGGTTCTTCCAAGTAATTTGTTGAAATATTAATGTTAGGAATCCATTTACATTGACTGGTGTTTTATAAGTGATGCTGTTTTCTTAATCTTTAATTCATGTGGTTGATGAATATTCCCGAAACGCTCACTTAAACAGTCTATCTAATGGGTTCAGCTGGAAAGAAATTAATTTCTCAGAAAAATCTCAATCCAAACAGACATGGGTCGTGCAAAAAAATATATCTTGTGAAACATTTCATGTTCAATTAAAACATAGCTTCAGGATTTGATGAATTTTACTGTAACTAATACCGCTTTGAGGATTATTGCTGTTTATATTAGAAAGAACTTGAATGCCTACTGTTTCATTTCTTGGTAGTTTGGAGACAGTTTCTCTTTCATTTTATTGTAGATTGGAGGCCAATTCCAACTTTTTACGTTATCAGTCTGCGATGATATAACTTTATCACTTTACTGTAGAAATCAAACTCTTAACCTTTTTCAATTAAAACTAAAAGAGACTTGAGTTAAGTAGTAGTTTGGAAAGGCTTTGTTTGGTTGAGTTGAGTTTAAAATTTGTTATGAGGAATTTTTCAGGAAAGCTTTCATTTTGAATTATGTGGTAACCTGTTAGACCTTGAAACGAGATAGAAAAAGGGGTAGCTCAGTGCATGAGGCTCCTGCCACTGTGGGCTCTAGGGTGGATTAGATGTATACGGCCTTACCTCCGCATGTGGAGAGGTTGTTTGCTTTTTCAAACCCGCGACCTCCAGCTCAAATTGGAGCAACCTTACCGTTGCGCCAAGGCCCGCCCTCAAACCTTGAAACAAGATACTTTGGAAAAGTTAATCTATTTCTATATGTTATTTTATTGTTTTTTGCAGAGTATGTTTTGTGCTTAATAAAGTTTAAATTACCCGTGGGCACTTGTTTTGTTTTATTACTTTCCCAGATTCTTGTAATAACAATTCGAATATCAAGTATATAATATTTCTCCCTTGACTCATTAGTGCAGATATGGTCATTCTGTTACCAAGATCAAGGAACTGATGCTACAAGCATGCCGTCCTTTTCTCAGTTTGTTGCCTCCAATGGCAATATGTTCTGGGGATGGTTCTTTCTCATATTTGGCTCTATATTCTTTCTAGGTTTCTTCTACACAGCAATTATGTCAAAGTTTCTTCCACCATCAGAGAATGTTTTCTTATCTGCCATTCAAAATGATAGGTAAAATTCTGTTGCACTGGGTTCCATCTCTAGACAAATTATTGAAAAATTTGACATTGCTGATTCCTATATTAAGCAATGTAATATTCTTCTAATTTTCTAAACTATTGTTTACCCAAGGGAATGATGTGTTTCGCTCAATGTTCGGCAAATTAGCTAGTTTTGAATTATTATTGTAGCACTGTATTGTCACACTTCTTAATATTGAAATCATATACTTGCTTCTGTTTATTGTATATTGGGGTGCATTGCATTCAATTAATGGAGTATCTTTAGGGTTGTTTATGGTGCTCAAAGTTACACAAAATTCGTGATACAAGTATACATATGATTAAAAAAATTGTGATTTAAGTTCACCAAGTAAATATTAGATAGACGTCTGATTCTTTTTTGCTATGTCTTAGTGACGGAGATCAGGACATGGCTCGAACACATGAATTGCACACAACTCGCACCTATGTTTGGAAAATGGGCAAGGACAGATAGATTTTATAGTTTTCCTTTATATTTTAGGAATTATAATAAATAAGAGTTAGCTTTACAATATTTCTTGGGTTAATTTCACTGACACCCCCTTAGGTTTGGTCAAATATCACCCTCAAACATCTTTTGAAAATAATTATCATTTAGGTCCATTTTCACTTTTCTGTTTCCGTTAAAAATATGTAAAAAGACAATTTTGCCCCTAAATTCCCTTTGACTTGGTCAAAAGTGCTCCCTAACTTAAAAAAATTAAATGAAAAGGCTACAATACCCCTAAATACACTACAAATTTACAATTATATATATATCACATATATATATATATATATATATATATATATATATATATATATATATACCGAGCAGGAACCTAAACGAGCGACTTGCAGTAGGTACGGCGGTGAACAAGTCGCTGCCACCACCATTCTCATGCCGACCAATCCCTGCCCAAAAGCAGCAACCAAACTTGGTTGCTTTTCTGAAACAACCTTCAACAACGGTCGTCGCTGTCCATGGCGTGACCCTTGGTTGCTTTTACGACCCCCACTTTCACTATGAACACGGCGGATGCCCCTTTGGCCGTAGAGATCGACCTTAGGTGTGGGTCGATTGCGACCTAGTAGCTGTTATGATCTCGACGATTACAACAAAATTTTCATTGAACTCTTCAAAGCATCTATTAATCAGCTAGCGCTTTTGATTTGATATAATCTGAACAAATACAGCTTTGTTGAATTGCTTTATGGATTTTGTTTGTAATCTCATTTGAATTTGTGCTTTTCTCAGATTCTCTACCGAAACATATCTCAACCTATCATTCATATACTACTCAATTTGGCATAGAAATTGAACTTTACCTCAAATCTCCCGCCAATGAAATTTCAGCAAAATCAAATCTATATATGCAATCTTTAACCAATTCATAAACGCTTCGAATAATATTTCTACTTCAGCTCAAAACCAAACAAATTTTGTCTGCGATGATTCTCATCTATGAACTTCAGTTAAACTGCAAAAGCAATCATTACACCCCCTCCCCCCCCTTCTCTCGCTCTCTCTAAAAACCATACAAACTCTTCGCCAATCCTCTACTTCTCTCTCTCTCACTTTCTCTCTATAGATAAGATAGAGATTAAGCAGCAGCAACAACAACAACAAAAGAAGGTAAAAGATGAGAGGAGGCAAAAACATAGTAGTCGCAAAGCATGTCTGTTAGCTTTAAAAACAAACACCTTTAGAAAACAATTAAAAATAAAGAAAATTAGACTTTCTCTCTCCTAATCTACGTGATCTATCGTGACCCATTTTAACCACGGTTTTGTTTCCTAATCGTGGTTAATAAGCTGTTATTGTTACCCTATTGGGCACCGACGGTGGTGGACGATGATGACACCGACGGTAGTGGACGCTGATGACACTGACGATTGTGCTATGTGATATTTATCTTCAATAGCGGTGATGGTGGTGGTGGTTGTAGTGGTGGAGAGAGAGGAACGGTGGTGGTGGAGAGAGAGAGGAGTATATATGTCTTGTGTAATATATATATATATATATATATACATGTATATATATATGTCAGGTATATTTATATAATTTGTAAATTTATAAAATTTTAGGGATATTTTAGTCTTTTAATACAATTGTTTAGGCAAAATAGTTGTTTTGACAAAGTCAAAGGGTATTTACGTCATTTTATATCGTGTCAAAACTGTTCAACTAACGTTTGGGGTGTGAGTAAATAACGGAACAAAAGTTTGTAATGTGAGTGATAGTTATTTTCGAAAGATGTTTGAGGGTGATATTTGGACAAACCTGAGGGGGTGTCAGTGAAATTAACCCTATTTCTTTTAATTAGTATTAGGACTAAGTTTGCCTATGAATAAGGTCTGGAGCTTGGTTGGACTGAACAGAGCTATTTTTGCAGCAACCATTGTGGACCTTAAAGTTTTTTGTATTGCCTATATATACATAGGCATATGTATTGTATTGATCACCTTTTATGAATATTGAAATTGAGTATTGATTGCAGATTTTTGCTCCCTCAGATTCTTCTTCCTTCCTCTCTTATTCCCTTTCCCTTCTATCTCTTTTTATCACTCTCCTTCTCTCTTCTGGTTCTAAATCACGCACACTACCTTCTTCTACATCAGTTGGTATCAGAGCTCACTACCCTTCCTGCATCAATTGGTATTAGAGCAAAAGGATCCATAGCACTCTCTGTCACTTTCAACTACACCCCGTAAGCCACAAACATCATCAGTCTCTTTCACCTAAACCTAATATCAAAGCCTCAAACAATTCCAACAGAACAGCCCCAACCCCTGTTGTGGAACCCCAACCAGCTCACCATCTTCATCCACAACCATTAACCATAACATCTTCACTGCAACCAACCAAACCCATTTAAACCCCCAAATAACCGAAGAACAAACAACTCGTACCATCAATTTCACCCACTGCTACACCTTTACAAAAACCCATCAACATTACAAACCCTAGTCATACAATAATTCAGGCTAACCACAGCCCCATTGCAAAACCCGATCATCGATGAGTCCCACAGTCCCTATAACCCTAAGCAGACCTTCACTGACTGCAAAAAAAAAAAAAAAAAAAAAAAAATAAATAAATAAAAGGAAGAAGAAGAAGTCGATCAGTGAAGAACAACTCACTGGGACTTCAGACGAAGTTTCTTCTTACCGTCGGCCTCTTCTCGCCGACTTCTTTGTCATCGATATTTCATCATCGAAGTGCTGCTGTTGTCACCTGTTTCTTCACGCAATCTCTTGCCTTCACTCTCCAGATCACTAGTGTTTATTTGCAAGAGGCAAAATTGTCAGTGGGATATTAATGTCCCAAATCTTACCCGTATCCACTTTACCCATACCCACTTTAAGATTCAGGCCGTTTTTTTTTTTACTTTTGCCCAGCAGCCGCTTTTTATTTAAGTCCAGTAATTTATTTTTATTTTTTTTTCTTAGTTGGTACTCACACACATATGCCTTCACTGAGGCTTAAACCCCTGACCTTTCTTTGGAAAGTAAGGGCCCAACACCGCTAGGCCAGGCCACTGGCCCCTTTTTTTTTTGGTAAGCAAGAAATGCATAGAAAGCGCTCAAAAGGGGAGTGCGTCCCAAAAAAACCAAAAAACCACTAAGCCTTCAAGGAGGCCAAAATTCGACAATCTCCTCACTAGATTTAAAATCTCTCCATGAAATCCAACAAAAAATAGTGGAAAGAATAGAGAACTTAAGAAAAGAAATAGTCCTCTCCTTTCCCTCGAAATATCTCCTATTCCACTCGAGCCAAATACACCACCATACATAAAGAGGCGTAGCCCTCCAAGCATTACGAATATGAGCCCCCACAGAACAACCTTTCTAAGCCTCCATCAACCCTCTAGCGGATCCAGGCATGACCCAGTGAATCCCAAACAAACCAAGCATCAAAACCCAACAGTCCCTAACCATGGTGCAATGTAAAAGAAGGTGATCCACTGTCTCCTCATCACGAAGGCACATGTAACAACGATTGACCACCACCTGATTCCTCTTTCTCAAATTATCCTGGGTTAAAATCTTCCCGAAGACAGTGGTCCAAGCAAAGAATTGAGAGGAGCCTTTGAGCGCCAAACTGACTTCCAAGGAAAAAAATCTCCAGGCTCATCTGAAAGACACTTGAAGAAGGACCGAACATTGAAACGGCCCTGAGAGCCAGAAGCCCAAATCCAACTATCAGAATCCGCGACCATAACTCCTTGCCGATAAAGTAACTCCAAAAAACGAGTGACATCCTCAATCTCCCAGTCCTGAAAAAGCCGCCTGAATCAAACATCCCAAACCAGTCTCCCGCTATCAAGATGATAACAGTTGACCACCATGACCTGCCTATTTGTAGCAATCCTAAAGAGTTGAGGGAAAGCGAGAGCAAGAGAAATATCCCCACATAAACATCCTCCCAAAAACTGATCCTCCTACCATTCCTCAGACGAAACCGAATATGTTTGGAAAATTCATCATAACCCTTCCTAATGAACTTCCAAACCCCCACACCCCTTGGACCACGCACCTCAAGAGAACACCTCCCTCCTTTGCTCTCCCCATACCTACACGCAACAACCCTCCTCCACAGCCAATGCCTTTCCACCGCAAACCTCCACAACCATTTCCCAAGGAGAGCTTTATTGAAAGGCACTAATCTCCCAAACCCCAAACCTCCACTCCGAATCGGCCTGCACATTTGCTCCCAACGAACCAAATGAAACTTGAACTCCTCCCCTCTACCCCCCCACAGAAAATTCTGCTGTAATCTCTCTATCCTTTCAACCACAGAAGAAGGGATTTGGAAAAGAGAGATAAAATAAGTGGGAAGGCAAGAAAGGGTGCTCTTAATCAGAGTAACCCGACCACCCTTAGAAAGGTACTGTTTCTTCTAACCCGTCAGCCTCCTCTCAAACCTGTTCACGATAGGATCCCACACCTCCACACATCTCGAAGGAGCTCCCAAAGGCATCCCTAAGTAAGAGATGGGAAAAGTGCCAGTATAGCAGCCAAGGATACTAGCAAGCATATCAATATCAAGGACCTCTCCAACTGGCGCCAAGACGCTCTTACCAACATTCACCTTTAGGCCGGAGATAACTTGGAACCAGATCAAAATGCATCTCAAATAGCGAAGCTTGGACAAATTAGTAACACGAATCACTAAAGTATCATCTGCAACTAAGAAGCACGGATATGGATATGAGACACGG